TTAATGTTTCCTAAATTTTGAAGTAGTGCCATTAAGTAGTCTTATTCTTGGGGCATATGTCTGGAGGAATCATCTGAGAACAGTTCTTAGCCATTCTGGGAGGATCCATACCTCCCTGCCACCTTTCAAGAACAGGATTTAATTTGGAGCTTACAGCAGGATATACAGCTTGTATACAGAGTTTCCATAGCCTCCTGGGGCTCAGCCAGAAATGTTTGGGAACTTAAAACTAAAGCATATTTTTAGAATATAAGGTTTCACCATATTTACTGATCTTGCCAGAAGGCCTTAATTGTCTGGAAAACCTGGGGTTCCTTTGCCTTCATCGGCAGTCTTCTTGACTTTAAATGGCTTTAAACTGAAAGAGGGGAGATTTAGATTGGATATAAGGAAGAAATTTTTCACTCTGAGGGTAGTGAGGCACTGGACCAGGTTGCCCAGAGAAGTTGTGGATGCCCCATCCCTGGAAGTGTTCAAGGCCAGGTTGGATGAGGCTTTGGGCAACCAGGTGTCCCTGCCTGTGGCAGAGGGGTTGGAACTAGATGATCTTTGAGGTTCCTTCCAACCCAAACCATTCTGTAGTTCTGTGACTTCTAGCAAAGAAGCAGGAGTTTTCTATCTTTAAAGAAAATGCAGCTGCTGACAGATAGCCTGGTGTTTCATTCAGATGATGTTCAGCTGCTGTTTAATTAATCTTGTAATACATGCTATAATGAACAAATAACAATTCTACCTTCAAGTAGAAATCAGACATATAAAAATAAATTGCTACACTTGACAGGTCTGAGATTTCCCTGCCCGAGCTGGTAGGGGTGAACCACGCTGATGGAACTGGAGTTTGGAGTGCCTCTCTGACCTACAGCAACAAGCAAAGGGGACCTTGCCCTTTCTCAGGCTCTTGGGAAGCTTCTCACCTTGAACAAAATGAAGGATGCCCAGCAAAAAATGGTCTTGGGGTAAAAAACAAAGACTCCACTTGCACATGGTATATCACCAGAGTGCCTGGGAAAGAGAGGCTGATTCAGACTAGGGACAACTGCAGAAAGATTTTTAGGAATTATTCAGGAACTTCAGTGCAGTTTTCAAACCTGGTGTTTGATGACGTATTATTTATAGACAGTGTCTTAAGCATCAAAAGTGAGGCAGTGCAGAGACACTGTGGAGTGAATTTGGCCCACCCTCTGTCCTACATGGAGTTCTTTTCACTGTAGCAAAGTCCTGCTCCAGCGTAACCATCAGTTGATAGAATGGTTTTTCTATAGAATGTGGAAATTCAGCAAAAAGTGCAAAGCAATAGAGTCAGGTCATGGAGGTGACATGCCTGAAAGTTCCACTTTCTCCCTTTGCAGAGTCCTTGAGGTACCTTATGCCTACCAGTGCTGCGCCTATGGAAGCTGCAGCAGCTTCTTCAAGATGTCCGATCAGTGGGAGGCAGAACACATGAGCCCTGAGGAGGAGGATCCCCACAAGAGGACCATGGAATTGTTTCCAGGTCATACTGATAATCACTGTAAGTAAACTGGGCTGAATGAGGATTAATCCATGGGCAGGGCCATGCCGCGAGCTTGGATGTGATCCTGCATTTGCATGAGTGATCCCACTGCCAAACGTGGAGTTATACCTGCCTTGGGGAAGGCAGGTTGATCCTTGTCCAGCTCTGATGGCCAGCTGCTGTGCACAGGCTTCAATTAGTGTCACCGCATTGGAGAAAGAGCTGATGTGGCACATCCAAACCTTCACAATCTAACAGCAAGATCTGGCAGTCCTCAACAGGATGGGCACGTGGGCTAATTTGGCCTTGCTGACTATAGAGGGAGGCTATCCAAGCCACCTGAGCAAGGTGGCTGAGGTTATATGGAACAGATTCTGGGCTTGGTCATCAGACTTCTGGGCAGTACGGAGTGTCTGGCAAAATTCTTTGTTGCTACAACATACAGAGGATGGGCCCTACAATTAATCTGAATGATAAGAGAAAGAACTTGAACTGGAACGTGCAGCTGGCTGGAGGCAGAGAGATCCATGTCCACTCTCCTTCTGTGCTCATACCCTGATGCTATAGCAAAGGTCAGGGTTAGGTATGAACTAGGCCCGTTAGGTGTGAAAAGGACACGTGTGGGGAATACGATTTGCTCAGCATGGGGGCCAGCCTATATAGGGCAGAAGTTAAAGACGAGCAGTGCCTTCTGTTCAAGAATCAATTTATTCTGTGCTCCAAAATGCAGTTCTGCATGGACCTCCATAAAATACGCTGGGCAGAGTCAGCAGACCTCCTGCACCCACAGATTCACAGCACAACAGCAGCTGCAGGCAGAAAGCTGGTGTGATCCCTTTGCAAGGGAATTTCAGAACAACATGTAGAAAAGCATGAGCTGCTTTGCTTGCTCTGTAACTGCTGAAGAGTGGAAATAGCATTTCATGACACAATTTGGATGCTGTGTTTGTTTATATATTTGTGTAAACACTGAGGCCACATGCACTGCGGCGGTCTGAAACAGCCTGTAGGCAAAACCACATCATGCTATGCGTTTGTAGCAGAAAGGGAGAGGGCTGAGTCCCTGAGGAGCACTTGACTCACCTGCTCCTGGGAGCACCAGGCACCAGCCATAACCAGCGGCTCTGCAGCATCTCCTCATGCTTCCTAAGCAGGCAGGACTGAATCTGGAGACAGATATTGACCAAAAGCAGTTGGGGTCTCTGTGTTACAGCAGTGACAGGAGGCAGGATGACCCAGACACTTTATGACACACCCAGCAAGTGAGTCACTAGCCCTGTGTCCCTGCCATCTGCCCTGCCCCACCCCCATCTTTCACAGACTAAGAATAAGCTTTAGCAATGTCGGCGATCCAGCCAGAGACTAGCAAGTGTGACTTCCACCAGCATGACGTGTGATGTGGCTCCTGGAAGCATGGCAGACTTGGTGGTTACACTGGGCAGACTGTACAGAGGAATCATATGTTACAGTCATTGCTGCAGGAGTTTCTTCTCAGCTGAGTCAGTTTTTCCATCATTAATGCAGCCCATACTTTTAACTGTCCTTCTGCATATAGTTGCGGTGTTTGCCGAGCAAATTACAGCATCTGTGAAAAGATCTGCTTTGTGGCTAGGGCCCATAGTACTACTTGCAGACCTGCTCTTGGTGGGCATCAAAGCATTAGGCATCTCAAAGGATACTCTCTCCTGGTCCTGTCAGCTCCCACAGGCTCCCAGGCCTCCAAGCCAGTCTCAGTCCCATGGATTCCATGTGTGCTCATGAGATATTAAGACCAGAAGGGAATGCTGAGCGAATCCAAGATGTGCCCCATGAGACTATTAGCAGCTCATAAATGCTCACATTTTCAGATGTGAAGGCATGAGGTTTGTCTTGAAATACCAGACCACAGAGGTGCAAATGTAAAATGCACAAGAACATCCTTCCTTACTATGTGCAGCTTTTGCACATAACTCTCCTTACCTTAGCAATGCATGGTCTATTCTCGACAATGAGAATTTTGTGATATTGCTGGTTTACTTAATTAATCGTTGCTTTATTTCTGTTCCCAATGCTTCCTGTCTGATGGCCACCAGTGGTATTTAGCTGTGTTACATGAATCTTGTAACACTTCCTCATTAAAGAAGAAAAATGCTCCCAAACATTCCTTCCATGTAAGAGATAAAGTGGTCTCATTAAGAGAAAATAACTCAGGGCTGTATCCCTGCAGTGTACAGCCAGGTTTGTCAGATGTTTGGATGCTGTAGGAGAACTTGTGAAAGGAATGTGGCACACCTCCAGATAGCCGTGTCCTCTCAGCTTTGCATAGTGCTTCCAGCAAGGGGTTGAGAATCCGTTTACAAACAAGTCCATAGAACCTCACAGCCAGGCAGTGAAAGGCAACTTGTCTCAGACAGCCATGAAAGGGCAAGAAATGGGTCTCTGGTGGCACATCCCTGCTCCAGCAGCCAGGCAATGCTGCCTCCCACAGCATGTCCCATTCCCGCATCCAGCACCCATCAGCCAAGCCCAGCACCCAAAAGACCATCTGAATTCAGCCACAGAGCACATGTGGTGCCATGGACCCTAGGCCAGCTCAGCTCTTT